CCGGAGGAGGGAAGCCCAAGTCCCGGTGCCAGAGGGAAGCTGGTGCCAGCAGCCAGAGAAGGAAGGCCTATTCTTGCATGAATTTTCATGCACTCGGCTTCTAGTTTGAATATAAGTTTCTTGCTTTTGACACTAAACTGCTACCTTAGAGTGGATTGTTCCCAAGGTAACGAGGAAACTCATTGAGGAGAGGATCTCAAGAAACTCAATGAAGGGAATTGTAGTGCTGGTCAGGGCTGTGGGCAACTGGGACAGGGAACCCTCTGAGAAACCCTGGCATGGTCCCACCAGAGGAGGGGAGACTGGGACATTACCTACCAGTCCCTCTCCTCTTGGTTCAGCAGCCTGGAGGGCTGAGTCTGACAGGGGCTGGGCACACCATAGGGGCATTGCCTCAGCTTCCTACCTGGAAGACACACTGCGCATCTGCTAGCTCAGAGCCCTGGAGCCTCTGAGCCAGGCTCCCTTCACCGCCAATCTAGAGAAGTGATCTAGGGTCCACATGGGCAGGGTGCCAGGAGCTGGCCTTGCCAGGAGGTGCCCTGGAGTGGAGAAGCAGCTTGCACTCCTCCTCTGAGGACCTGGAGGACTGTACCCTGGCCTGTTTTTTCCTGGTGTGAGGCTGGCAGAGCATATGCTGCCGCTGGACCAGGAGCAGCAGAAGCTGCACAGTCTCAGGAGGCCCACCCCTGCCGCACCTACTGAGGGCTTCGCTCTTAGGAATAACTGTGCTGTGCGTCATTTTGCAGCATCAGCATCCAGTCCTTGGCCCTGGGACAGTCCCCTACAGTTTCTTTCCTCAAACTCAAGGATGATGACTAACTTCCTGGTTTTGCTCTTGAAGGTGTGGGTGGCCCTCCTTGTTCAGGCCTGGTTTGTGACCCTCCTATCACTTTAAGCATTTTTTTAAATTAGCTTTACACAAGTGGGGGAGGAAGGTGGTTCTGCCTTGTGAGGGCTGCTTCATGCACTGGTGCCCGCGGGTTCCTGCTGCCTGAGGCTCAGTGAGGCTTTCTGTGAGGAGAATGTCAGCTGCAGCGGCCATGACTTGTCATACACCCTGAGCAAGGATTGCTGGGAAGGTGGTATCTTCCCAAACTCAGGTGTCTGCAGGCCTCACTGCTGGGAGGGGCTGTACAAATAGGGCCTCATGATTAGAAATCATTCTCCACACTACAGTGCACGATGCTGGCACACAGCTCACTGAGAAGTAACCGCCCCATCTGGGTGGGGGCTCTGACATGGCCATGGGCTTCCCAGGAACTCACAAGCCATAATTTCATAGGCCTCCCAGCCATTGAGAGCACATTGATTTTGCAGACTTATCTTGTCTAACTTTTGATGGAACATGGGTCCTTCCCACATATCAGTGAACTTTGTTCTCTGCAATGTGGTTCCTCAGACATTTAACCCATGTAGTCTTTCCATCATATTTTTACTTGTCCCCAAGATTTGAAGAAAGATGTTGGGATACTATTTTTCCAAACATAGTGCTGACTCCCAGGGCCCATAGGCGTTGTCCAACCTCCTCCCCCTCTGCTGAGATGCCTCCAGCCTCTGAGTGACCATGTTGGTGTCAGAGATTATATTTCTTCCTGGCAACAGCACGACATTCCCTGAGCTTTCATCTTTCAGGGTTCCTACAAAATTGTAGAATTGCGTCTCTTCTGCTTTTCCATTGTCGGTCATTTCCCTAGAGTTGTGGTCACAGAGGAGAGTGGAAGAGGCTCTATTAATAAGTACACTAGAGTGATGGGCACTGACTTGGGTGCTCTTGGGCCAACTGACATATATGGCCTCCTGGGTACAAGGCTGGAACCATGCCAAATTTTCCCCAGAAGTCCCTCCTCACACCTGGCATTGGCCAAAGAGCCAAGGTGGGCCCAGAGTTCTCTCCAGTTGGAAACAAAGCATCTAGTCTCCCCTACTTGTCTGAGAGGTTCTCCCAGGGGACTTCAGCCCTGACATGGGGTAGAAGAGCATCCTTAGTCCCTTACCACAACTCCCTTTTTCTGCTCCCAGTTTTCCTGTTACTCATGGGAACACTTCATTCAGTCCTTTGTATATTCAAATATTAATGAATTCTAATTATGGACCAGACACCATTACTGAAACAAAGCACATAGTTAATGAGACAGACAAGTGCCCTAGCCGGATGGAGTTGGCATGTAGGTGATAAGATCATACGTGCATTTTAATTTGCATCTCTCTGATGATCAGTGATGTTGAACACCTTTTTATGTGTCTATTGGCCATCTATATGTTCTCTTTGGAGATGTGTCTATTGAGATCCTTTGCCTTTTTTTTTTTTTTTTTTAAATTGTGTTGTTTGTCTTCTTGGTGTTGAGTTGTATAAGTTTTTAATATTTTTTTGGAAATGAACCCCTTATCAGATGTATCAGATTCACCCATGCAGTGGGGTGAGATTTTATTTTGTTGATGGTTTATTTTGCTGTAAAAGTTTATATCACCTCATGCCTGTCTGAATGACTATTAATAAATCAATAAGTGTGGCATGTGTGGAAGGCAACCAATAGATGTTTCTCTCTTAAAAAAAAACACTTTTTTTTTTAATGGAACTATCTTTTGCCCAGTGATCGCACTTCTGGGAATATATCTGAAACACAAAACACTAATTCAAAGGAATATATGCACTCTTATGTTCATTGCAGCATTATTTACAGTAGCCAAAATCTGGAAACAGCCCAAGTACCCATCAGTAGATGAATGGGTAAAAATGCTGTAATACATTTACATCTTGGAATACTACTTGGCTATAAAAATGAAGAAAGTCTAACCATTTGTGACAGCATGGATGCACCTCGAAATTATTACTCTGAGTGAAATAAGCCAGTCAGAAAAAGACAAATACCAACTGATCTAACTTATATGTGGAATCTAATCAACAAAATAATTTAACAAACAAAATAGAAACAGAAGCATAGATACACAGAACAGACTGATAGCTGTCAGTGGGGAGGGACTTGGTGAAAAAAGGTAAAGGGATTAAGCAAGAAAAAAAATATAGAGATATGACACATAGATACAGACAACAGTATGGTGATAGCGCAGCTGGAGCAGAGAGTCAAAGGGGCAGGGGCAGGGGCAGGGGCAGGGGTGGGTCATGCTCAAGGATTCGGTTACTACTCTGGGTGTGATGAAGCCATTGGAGAGTTCTGACAGGGGAGTGCTATGACCACACTACACCTTTGACCCTGATGTTGGCCGGTGGACATTTCACTCCTCGGGTGAGAACAGAGGCAGGGAGACCAGGGAGGCGCTATGGCAGTACTCTGGGGAGAGAGTTAACAGTGGATTTCAGAGAACAGAACTGAAGCCTATGGTTGTGAGTTTACATGGAGGCACATTTTGGCAGAGAACGAGTAGGATTTTTTAATATTTAGGGCTGACCGACAATATTGGGCTTGAAGGGTAATGATTCCCTTCCATGCCATTGCTGAGGCCGAGTCTGATCCCGTCAGAGCTGGGAAGCCACAGACCTCCCAGGTCCCTTCGGCCCACGATTCCCCTGCGTTGGACATAGTGCAGGTTTCAGCACCCACCATGGGCCACAGTCACACATCTCAGCTGCTGGAAACACCATGCAGTGGTTAAGAACAGAGACATCTGGCTTGTAACTTGATGATGTGATTTTAGGCAAGTCTTGTCATCTCTTAGGGTCTCTGTTTTTTGCATAAGAAGTAAAGATTAATGGCCACTCAAGGGTTGTTGTGAGGATTAAAAGATTAATCAGGTACTTCCCTTAGCTTATCAACATGGAATAAACTCTGGATATTGCTTGTGTAAAACTCCTGAATGCTTTGAACGAGGTGTGGCTCAGTCAGTGACATGTCACACCTCTGTCCCCAAGGCGGTCCCAAGGAATTTTTGATTACAAAGCACTGGCCTCATCCGTGTTTCTTCACCATTGTTCCCTGGCTTTTGACCTGCTTTTGTCTCTCTGGGACCCCAGAACGGCCACACCTGTGTTGCCTCCCAGTCACCCAGTGACACTCACGGGACCTCTGTGTCAGACCAGCCTTTTTGACAATGTGGCACACCCAGACCAGGAAATGACCCAGACCTTAAAAGCTCATTAGAAGGCCAGAGTTCCGGATCAGTTTTCTAAAGGAGCCCTTGCATGCGGTGGAGCCTAAGGTTGTGTTGGTCCAGGGACAAGAGCATCTCTTTGAGCAAAGGTAACTTCTGCTGCTCAGAAGGCACGTAGTGGGCAGCTCTTTCAGGGCCCTGTCTAGCCTTGAGGAGCCTCTGAGGTTGAGGGACCCGGGGTCGAAGGCTCAGGGCATAGGGCATCAGAGGAGCTGGGCTGCTTCCACGAGTGTGGGTGGCTGCCTACTCCCTCTCTAGGGATAACTGTAGAATCAGGCACCGGGAGTCCTGAGGCAGGGAGGGTGGTGAACAACTGCTTCTCACTGTGGGGAGTCTGTGGTCTTCTCAGGGAGCTGACTGCTGCCCGGACCAGAAGCCCAGAGATATGTGTCCTGTGACCTGGAGCCTGTGGATGTCCACAGCAGGGTCCTTAGAGATGCCTGTTTGGGTGGGGAACAGGGGAGCTGGGGGCAGAGAGACAGGCTTGCTGCCACTTACTTAGGATGCTCAGACTTGAAGTCAGGAGAACTGGTGACTTACCAGCTGTTCAGGACTAAACAGAGATGAACACACCCTCTCTAAACCCAGAAACTCATCCTAGAAGGTGCCTGGAGGTACTCTGGAACCTCCTAGCAACCCCAGATGTGGTAGGTAGAGAGTACCCCAGGCCCATCACTGCCTGGAGAGCCAGGACCAAACAGTCCCGAAAGAGATGGGAGCTTCCACTTGGGGTTGTCTGGCCTGGGAACATGCTCTTCCCATCCTCAGTCTCACATGTGCAGCTGGGACAGGATCTCAGGGCAGCTTCCTCCAAACAAGTTTTCCATCCATTTCCAGGGGAAGGGCAGGGCAATGAATAATGTGTTTTTCTTCCCTCCTTCCTTCACAAGGCCAGATGATGACAACCTCCTCGCCACCATCTGATCTGCCTTATGCTCTTCACAGAAAACCTAAAGACAAGGCGGAAACCCCACTAAGTAAGTGGCAAATTATAAACCAGCATGGCGGTCTCCATCCTGCCTCCCCAAGGACAATAGGGCACCAGGTTCTCTCATTTGCTCAGCTACAGATGTATTTGCTAAAATACTCACATCAGGAAAGCTGCACTTGAAAATCTCAGAGCATTTAGTTCTCATCTTATGTGTGTTTAGAATTGTTTACTTATTTTGATAAAGAGGGCATTGAAAAAAACAAACAACATACTGATGACCAATTTTAACATTTTTTGTGGCTTTTTTTAGTACGCAGAGACTGTCAATCAGAGTAGGACAAGTTACTAATACCCCTTGTAAATCTTTGGGGACCATGATTTCAGACAGTTTGATCCAGAAAACAGCCCCTGTCTTGGGTCCCCTCCCTTTCTCCTTAAAGCCACTCTTAGAACAGTAAATCTACCCTAGAATTTCATCAGCCAGTACAGTCCCTCTCCCCCCCGCCCCAATCTGTGGAAGATATGTTTCGAGATCCTCAGCAGATGCCTGAACCCACAGATAGTACCAAACCCCATATACATATATTATGTTGTTTCCTACACATCACATCAGCACTTTACAGCTACTCTTTGACACATCTGAGTTGCCAGCATCACTACTCTTAAGCTTTGAGGTCATTGTTAAGTAAAATAAGGGTGACTGGAACACAAGCACTGTGATACCACAAGAGTAGATCTGATAACTCAGATGGTTATCAAGTGACTCCTGAGTGGGGACTGTATACAGTGAGGACACGCTGGACAAAGGGACAATTCACATCCCAGGTGGGATGGAGTGGGTGATGTGAGGTCCCATCACAACTTTAGAATGGTATGCATTTTTAAAACTTATGAATTATTTATTTCTGCAATTTTCCTTTTAATATTTTCTGACTACAGTTGACTGTGGGTAACTGAAATCGAGGGAAGTAAAACAGTGAATAGGAAGGGGAGGGTGGGGAAACCACTGTATTACAGGATGCAGCCCAAGTCCTGAAAGTTGATAGTAACCTCACGTGTGCTTTGTGCTTTTTCCTCCCCGACACCTGGCAGGGGTGGAACATCCAGGAACCTTTAGTATTCGTGATCCTCTACAGATGGTGTGGGAGCTGGAGGGAGAGACTTTAATCGCAGTTCCTTCTAGCAAAAAAGTCAAACCTGGTGAGTGACAATGTTTGCCTCTTAAAGGGATACCACCTCCACAGGGTATGGGGCTGACCTGTATGAGCTTGGCTGTGGCCTCTCCTACTTCTGGGCACCAGCTCAGTGTCCACAGGAGGGCAAGAAGGACAAGGCGGTTCCCTCCCGCAAAGGAAACCCTGTACCTAGAAACAAGGAGTGAGGGATGGGCAGTTCTCCTTGGCCAAAAAAAATGTCGACAAGAAGGGGTTGTCCATTCAGTCAGGCTGCTTTTCCTCGGAGCTTCTCTCCCTTAAATTTCATCCATTGCTACCCATGTCCTCAGATTAAATTACTTCACCTTCCACCACCAAACTGCACACTCTTCTGACTTGGTGTCCTCTCCTCTGGTAACAGAATATGTCTTCCTCCTATCAAGGGTCAACCATGCCTCATGAGGCTGTGGGAAGAAGTCAGTGCAACTCAGCTCTTTCCCTCCCCTAGGATTCAGTGTTTGATCCCATCCCTCTGTCCCCTGCATATCCCACCTTTGTCTATCTATTGGGTCTTTTCTGTCACTGACAAACATGCTCTGATATAATATTTCCAAGCTTAATACTAAAAAGCTCTTCTTGATGCCCACATTTCATTCCTACCATTGTTGTTTTCCTATATACAACGCACCATGCTATATGCCAACCACAGCCAAATTCCATGGAAGCGTTGACTACACAACCTGTCTCCATTTTCCCTGCTGCTCATGCTTACATTATGTGAAAGAAACCTGAGCGGGCGGCTGAGGCCAGTGTGATGAGCCCATGGTGCCTTGTGAATCTCAAGGTCATGCCAACTGTCATCTAAGTGAAGGAAGCCACAGGATATATTGAAGGAGCTCAGTCCTAGCCCGTTTGGCTCAGTGGATAGAGAGTCAGTCCACTGACTGAAGGGTTCCAGGTTCAGTTCAGGTCAAGGGCATGTACCCCAGTTGCAGGCTCGATCTCTGGCCTTGGTCAGGGCATGTGTGGGAGGCACACAATCTGTGTCTCTCTCATATCAATGTTTCTCTATCTGTGTCTCTCCTCCCTCCCACCCTCTCTAAAAATCAATGGGAAAATACCCTTGGGTGAGAATTAACAAAAAAAGGTGCTCCTTCCAGCTGAGTGAGCTCTCCTTAAAGGACATTCTTGGAAATCCCGCACTACACTTCCACTTAGAGCTCACGGGCTACAACTTATATGTTAGCTGCAAGTGTGGTGGCGAATTTTATCTTTACTTTGGGGAAACTGGGCTCTGATAGGAAGGAAGGAAAAAAGAATTGGGTTTCTACCACCCATCTCTGATGGAGCAGTTCTACCCCCTGGCTAATTGGGGGAGCCTTCCGGGCAGACCTGGCTGGTCAGCATGGGGCTGGGAGGAGCAACAGAGTGTTGACGACAGGACCGGCCTTGCTGCCTCCTGGAGCTGATGCCTGTCCCCATTTCCCTATTTCCAGCTACTATTTTCTCAGTGCCATGCACAGACCCCGACATCTCTAATGAAAAAGGCAGTCCGATATTTCTGGGAGTCAAGGAAGATCTCTGTCTGTTCTGTGCAGAAATTGAGGGCCGGCCTACTTTGCAGCTTAAGGTGAGTGGTTGTGCAGCTAATGAGAGAAGTACTGTGACTTTTAATTTAATTTAATATATTACTGAGTAAAAATAACATTTTTCAACCTTGGATTATTCATTGTAAAGAAACTTGACTTAGATAGTCCCCAAGCCAATACCTGCTCCCTTTGGAATGGGTGCAACGCTTACTTTAATGTCAGAGCATCCTCTGAATGCCAGAAAGGACACCACAAAGGCATTCCAGGAAGGCCAGGACTGCAGCTTCTACGTTCCTTGTCCTCTTCAACTGCCTCCCAGAAACCCTCTGAGATGTGGGGCACTCCCATGTGAGCTCAGGCCACCGCACACAGAGCAGGGTAGGGCAGATTGTGAGTCCGGATGCTGCAGATTTCATGTCAGTGGTCCCTGCACTGAAAGCAGCTTTTACAGTCATGAAGCTCATCCTTCTGCTGTGACAGACGCTGCAATGTGCAAACCCACTGGAGACTGGGAATCTTGTGAGACTGATCTGAACCTGTGGATGGGTGCCTAGCAGGAGCACCCATGACGCAATGAGCCCCACTCTGTTCTGGGAAAGACGGTGTTGTCTCAAAGAATCAGAAGTGCCTGGTGTTGTGGGATCTCAGGGGCAGCCAAGCTATTGGGAACCGAAGCGTTGCCTGTGCTGACACCTGGCATCCTCCTCTCATCAGCCATGCTCCTCCCTGTGGGGAAAGCAGTCACTGCTGAGGCTGAGTTAGTTGAGCTCCCTCTTCCCAGTAATCCTCTCTGATAGGCCTCTTTCTGCTCCTAGAAGGAAAGCATAATGAAACTGTACGAGGAGAAGAAGGCGCAGAAGTCCTTTCTCTTTCTGCGTGGCATAGAGGGCTCCACCTCCACCTTCCAGTCCGTCGCCTGCCTCGGCTGGTTCATAGCCACTTCCTCGCAGGTGGGACAGCCTGTCACCCTCACCAACGACAGGGGCAAAACTTACAACACCAACTTCTATTTCAGTTCTTTGTAGCCTGGGCTGTGGCTGGCTGATTCTGGGACAGAGAACCTGTAGGTCATGGTAAGAGACCACCAAGCACTGCTGTCCATCCACAGCCCGCCTCATGCTCAGCACCCAAAGCCACCTCCTCTAGACATGCACTGGCACACCTCGCCTCCCTCTGGAATGTCGTTCCAGTATCAAACCCTAGAGTCACTTTTTATTGTTTCCTGATCTTGTCCTATTATCCACTTTGCTGTCAAGTCTAGTTAAGTCCACATCCTAAATGCTCCTTGTACACAACCATCTCCTATTCCTCCTGCCAACCTATGGCCTAGAGATGTGAATTTCAAACATATTTGTTCTTACAAATATGTTTACTTGAAACATAATCTGTTCTAAGACCAGTCCTTCTGGCATTACCTCCTGTTGCTTCACTGCCCAGGATTGTTGGGGATAACCCTTGAACCCCACTCTTTCAATACAAATACTCTTTATTAATTTTATGCATGTTCATTATAAATATTGGAAACTTACTCCCAAAGAGAAATGTAAAGGATAGGATAACTATGAAATAAAAAATTTTACATGTTCATACTCATGATGAATTCTCAATACCATCTATATTATAAAAAGCCAGTGACGGTAATGCTGTAACGCTGCAATGACCAAATGACTGGTCACCAGGAGGTGCATTGATGGCTCTCATGGTGTGGTAGGTCTGGGTCTCGCATGATTTCACTCACTGGGCCTCTAGTTAGTTAGTAATTCGACACACAGTATATATTTTTGTTAAAGGTGAATTGCTAACATATGAATGCAAATTAACAATAGAATGCAAATCAATCCATGTTTCAAAGAATCACTTATATCAGTTGGAATTATTTTTCCGGCAACTTCTTGAAACTCATTGTATTGTCTTTGTTGTTACTTTTTAAAGTGTCTGGAAGTAGGTCAGCCCTGACACTTTCTCGTTTTTTTTTTTTTTTTGGAATTTTCCTAGAACCTTCAATCACAGTTTCTTTATTGGGATGTTTTTAAGCCCATTGTCTATTTTGTGAGGGTGACTTTAATTAAAGCCTGCAATGAAATTCATGACACCCATCACATATAAGTTGCAATTTACTATAATATCCTGGACATGAATGTGCGTGCAATGGGCTCTCTTCTCAGAAGACCCTGCCCTTCTTTGCACATCACAGGTGTTATCATTGCTAAGTTTGCATTTCTCAGCCAAGCATAATCTGTTCCAAGACCTGTCCTTCTGGCATTACCTCCTTTTGCTTCACTGCCCAGGATTGTTGGGGATAAGCCTTGAACATCACCTTACATCCTGCTAGTCTGCCTTTTCCCCAGTCACTGCTGTGCTTTGAGAAGTCGTCTCTGCTGCACCAGCCATCTCTCTCTCTACCTGCTCTGGGGTGCCTAGGACACCTGGGGGAGGACACTTGCAGGGGCCTGCTTGGCACTCATGCATACGCAAACCTGGAAGTAAGAGGGAGCTGCTCCAGAGGAGATCTTTACCAGTGGGGGATGGGAGTGGGTGGGAAATGCTACCTCTCCCATCACTTGGTGGACAATTCTGAGATGCAATCTATCTACATGGTCCTCAGAGGGTCCCAGCAGGACTTGGTCATAGCTGCCCATGGCAGTGCTGTGCCCAAGAACACATCCTTATGTTGGCTGCCCTAGCGTTCCTGCTTCCATTTTTCCAGCCCCTACTCCTGTTCCCTTCTCATCACCCTGCATGAAAGCCTTGTCTCAGGCTCTGCTTTCTGGTGTAAACTGAGGCTGAGGCAGATTTACAGTGAGCTTCTTTCCTCTACTAGTTACTCCCAGTGCATTAGCTTTCTTCCCCCAACACCTCCTCTCATACAAACATCTCAGACACATTCATCCCTGTGTATCTCACTGCCCAAGTCTCTAACATCCCACATGTGTGAAGTGTTGAGAGACCTCTCCTCATCTCCCCAACCAAATGCACTATCTGGTCTCCTTTAAAGTCCATAGCATTTTGCCTTCTCACGTGACATTTCGTTTGCTAGACTTTGTGCTCAAGTTTTTCTTCTTGTCTTGGCCCCTTTGCTCTCTTCTCCTCAACCACATTCTAGGTACACAGAGAACAGGGATTGTGTCTTTTATGTGCTCCCCTTTTATTTTACTCCCCTTATGTGCCAGCTATTGCCTCTTACATAAGTTTCTCAAAAAACATTGTAAGTGCATCTTTATTTTCAACAGATACTGGCAATCTGCCTTTTGACGTGGCTTTTCCAACTTATACTCCCAATGATGCGTTTATCCTTCCTTCCCTGACCAAAACTTACTTTTAAATTAAAAACCATTGTTCATCCAGTGTATAAAGAATATCTTGTTACTGTGATTTGTATGCCCCTGAGTACTAGCATGCCATTGACTGCTCAGCACATTCTAGTCTTGGCTTCTAACTTCTCCACCAAAACATTTTTTTGAGCATCACCAATGACATCTCTGTTGCCACATCCCCGTGGACATTCAGCTGTCCTCATCTTAATTGGTGTTGGACACAGCCTGCCACTCTGCCTCATTCTTACACTCACATCTAGGGGCTCTGTGGCCATCACCCCTAGTGTTCCCCAACCCCAGTGGCTTTCCCCCCTCTTTCCTCTTCTCCAGTTCCTCCTCCTGTGACTTCAAAAGTTGCAGTTCCTCAGGCCCCATCTCTCCTCTATGCTGTCTCCCTGGATGACATCACCTCTTCTCATGAATGGAACACTGTCCTGATGGATGGAATAGTTTTATCTGGCCCAAGGCTCTTATTGGAATACCAATTTATGTTGTCCCAGTGCCGGGAGCCGGTCCATCCTTGCTGTTTCAAGTGACCTGGAATATATGGCATACTGTTCTTAATATGTTTGCTCACCTTCTTGGCACTATGTTTTAACCAAGGTCACCTCTCTAAGAAAGGTTGTTTCCCCAGGTAAGGATTTTCCCCTGAAGTTAGGGAGGGAATAAAACCCCTCAACTAAGTGCCAGGCGGGTAATTAATCACTTTAACTATGAACAATCATGCTTAAGCTACATAATCTTTACTCCCTGGAATGGAGATAAGAAACGCCCTAATCTTTGGAATAGAGATTGATAGGATTGGAATCAACTGGTATAAATACAGATGTAACAAGACAACAGGACACAGAACCTAGACACAGAACCTAGAGACAGAAGAACTTCGCTGGAGAGAACATGGCAAAAGATCCTGGACAGAAACTGGACACAGAACCTAGAGACAGAACCTAGCGAGAGAACCTGGCTAAAGAACCTAGAGACAGACCTGGCTACAGAACCTGGATAGAACATGGCAAGAGAACCTGACTAGAACCTGGTGACTGAACCTGGCTGGAGAACCTGGACAGAACCTAGAGACAAAACCTAGCAAGAGAACATGGACACAGAACCTGGCTGGAGAGCCTAACCAGAACTTTGCCGGAGATCCTGACCAGAACTTGGCTAGAGATCCTGGCTAGGCTGCTGATCAACTGAACGCTGCCTCTGTGTCTTTCCTTCTTTGCCAACTCCATCCACACCTTTGGGGACCCCTGGACCTGCTGGGGTTGGACCCCAGCATCCCAGAACATGCAAACTGAATATGTCCTAAGTAGTACCCTCAATAATTGTCCAACATGCCCAGTCCCACACCCAGTTACTCAAGACAGAAACCTAAGACTCATCTTTGATTCCTCCTTTCCCTGAAGCCCTACATCCAACCCATCAAGTCTATCCTCCTTTCCCTAAAGAGGTTTACCTTCAAAATACACCTCAACTCCACCCATCTCTCTCCAATGTTCCTGCCACCCACCACTGTATATAGAGCAGCTGCCATCTCCCAACCACTGTTTTTCACTTTGTAAAATTTAGATGCAAAAATTTCTGGCTTTATCATATGACTGAATTCATTTTTTCCCCTTTCTCTCTCTCTCTTCTATTTATTTATTTTTTTTACTGATGTCTGATTTATTTCTACTTTTTAAATAATTAACATTTTAGCTTGTTTTGTTTTACATGTGGCTTTTAAAATAATAGTTACTTTTCACTTTTAAAAGATTTTTGTTAAACTAAGGAATAAAATTGTGGTAAATAGTAAATGGTAGCTATTGTTGTGTTATTACTAGTATATTCAGAAAATTCAGGAAATCTCTTTAGGACTGATTATCTATGTTTTAAAGTAAATATTGAGTAGGTTTGAGGGGATAGTAATAACAAGTGTATCCTAGATGCAAATAAATGGTACCCACATGTACTTATCACCCAGCCAAAGCTAGGACCTTTGGAACCCCTGTATATTTGTCTTCCATCTGGTCCCCTCCCTCCCTCAGATGTAATTGTCATCTTAAATTTCATGGTTATTATTTCCTTATATTTTGCTATACTTTTACCACATATGCATATCTCCCCCAAATAGTTTAGTGTTGCCCGCCTTTACATTTTATAGAATGAAACCGTACTGTTTGTGTTCTTGCACAGCTTGCCCCATGTCCCTGGGTTCACTCTTGGTTACATCATGTCCCTTTGGGTGCTCTGAAGAGGAGACACCACGGTGAGATTAGACAAGCAGTGAATGTGTTGGGAGAAATGCACAGGAAAGATGTAGGAGGGAGGGATCAGGAAGAGGCAGGCAGAGCCTTCAGGCCATAATGCAAGTCAGACTCTAGCAATGGGGAAGAGAGGAGTGGGTAGGAACAGCTTCGGGCTGCACTGCAGCTGGGACTACTCTGAGGAAGTCTTGACCTGACTGAAAGGGAGCCCCAGGCAAAGCTTACCTGTAGAGGCTCCAGGTCCCAGGAAGGGCCTGGCTGCAGTGCTGCTGTGTTCAGTCATGGCCTGGGAGCAGCCCAGGGTTGTGGCAGCCTGAGGCTGTAGGCCAGCTCTCCTCTGGGCAGCAGCTTCTCCTAAAGGGAGATCGAAATCGCTCCTGTTTACCAGGAGCTGAGATACAATTCACATGCCTCACTGTGTAACTTTAACGTAAACAATGTGGTGATTTTAGACAATTTTATTTTAATGTGTCCTGGAGAAGATAACTTGGGGTTGAAATTTCAGGGGCATCGATGAGCTTCATGAACCTGGATGTCCAACTCTCTCTTCAGGTTTAGGAAATTCTCAGCCATTATATTTTAAATAAGCTTTCTGCTCCTTCCTCCTCTCTTCAAATTCTAGGGCTTCAATAATGCATAGATTCTTTCTGTTAGTAGAATTCCATAATTCACATGGGCTTTTTTCACTCTTTTCTTTTTGTTTCTCTGACTGAATAATTTCAAATGACCTGTCTTCTAGTCCTTTAATTCTTTCTTCTGCTTAATCCAGTCTGCTGTTGAATTCTTCAGTTTATTCATTGCATTCTTCAACTGAAGGACTTCTGTTTGTTTTGTTCTTAATGGTTTCTATGTCTTTGTTCATGCATTGCTTTCCTAATTTTGTCTAGTTGTCTGTTGCTAAATTTCTTTAAGAGGATTATTCTGAAATTTTTTTTGCAATTTATTGATCTTCATTTGTTTAGGGTCATTTTATGTAGCTTTATTAAATTTGGTGGTTTTATGTTTCCTTGATTATCCATGATTCTGTGTCCTTC